CCAATACCTATGCCTATTTTATTTTTCTTGTTACTCATGAAGAGCTTCTACTCTCTATTCTAGTTTAGAGGAGAGGAGTATAAAAGAATAAAAAGTCACAGAATTATTAAGAAATATGTTGCCAGCTTCCAATTTACTGAATGAATTAGCCAAGAAACCAAAGGGTAATTTTCCAATTAAAAAATGATTTCACAGTGATGGAAATCTTTGTATTTAATTCAGGCATGTCTTTCTTCACTTCCATTTTCCAAATATTTATTGGACGAGAAAGATTTGCAAACCAATACATTCACAGAGAGAGGAAGAAAGGCAAATTGTTCAAAAAGATTCAGGTCCCCATAATTACATATATGAAACAGCTGTTTGTGGTTTTAAAAGAAAAATATCTAAGTACAACACATGGCAGGGGTTCTCAACCAGGGGCGATTTTTACCTACAGAGAATGTGGAGATGCTTTCCATTGTTACAACAGGAAATTATTTCTGGTATCTAGCAGGTAAACAGCAGTAATCCTGTTGAACATTGTGTAATATACAGGACAACCTCACAACCAATCATTATTTGGTCCAAATGTTTGTAGCATTGAGATTGAGAAACTCTGACATGTATCTTCTCATTGGTATTTGATAATAGCAGGTAGCTCATACAGAATAGTAAAAGGGCACAAGATAATCTATATTTAAGAAGAAGAATTTATTAGAACTTAAACTTCTTCATAAATGTGAAATTGTATAATCTGGCCTCTTGTTTGATAGTCTCCAGGCTTCAAATAAGGATATTTGAGGAGCATAAAGGACAGACTGATAGTTGATAATTACACTTAAGCAATACATTTTAAAAGTTAATACAACAAATACAGAACTGTTCGCTCTATTTTACATAAAATATTGTTTTGCTAAGAAAAAAATAGTTGATATTCATGTTTACCAGGACAACAGCTGCCGCAGGTCCCACAAAAGCATAGAGCAGTCCTCCTTCAAGAGAGAGCCAGCAGCTAAAAATAACATTAGACAAAAACTAACAAAAGTTAGTGAAAGTGTTAACCATTGAACTCTGATACAAATAATTTAGATGATGCATTGAATCTTGGAATTTTACCAGATTTCTAAGGCAGAAATGATATGGAAAATGCCGGAATGAAAATTTCACAAGTGAATTTACTATATATAGCTCATATAAAGGCAGCTTTTATTATAAAGCCTCCTTTTCAGGCAGTTAAAACATTTTCGATAAATTACTTTTGCGGTGAGATTTTTATATAGACTTGTACAAAGGTAACTATTAAATTTTGTAAAATACTGCTTTATATCCATTATAGAATATTTTTTACATACACTTTCAAGCAAAGCATGTTTTTAGAGTCTTAGATATGCCATTTACCCATCATTCCTTGAGGCCATTGAGCTATTGGAAGAAATTGGTTTAAAAGCCATCATTGCAGGAAATGTATAAATACACAATTTGCATGCTTTTTTTTTTCTTTCTAATTTTACCTTCCTGGGAATTACTAAGAAAGTTCACTAAAAGTAAGCTTTTAAATAAAAATAAGTGTATCTGTTTTTATTTCAATTGCTAAATCCACTGAGATGCAGGTTTGCTCTGATAACAACATTGGACCCATTTAGGAAAAAAAGTTTATCCTGTCACACCAGCAGAAAAGAAACTGGGTGTGGGGTTCAACAATCAAGGCTTGGTAAAGGGGAACATCTACATGTGCATAATGCAGAGAAAACAACAGAAGGAAAGGGTGAGATTCTGATTTATCCATGAAATAGAGCTATGCTCATCAATTTAAGCACCTGCTTCTGCTATTTGGCCCTTCCAATATTCCAAGTCCAGAGGGATCAGCAAGCTGCCTTCAGAATACAAACAATAACTATTCTATATTTGCTCTAACAATAAATTGCTCCAGGTTGATGAGTGTAGTGATTACATGATTTATGCATTTGTTAAAGCATAAAACTGTACACATAGAGTGAATGTTACTTCATGTAAATTATGCCTTAATAAAAAATTAATCTGGCAATTATATATATTTACTTAAACATAATTCACCTAACTGCATATATCACTATACAACACAAATGTACATATATATGATCAAAGTCTGCATTAAGGTATTACTCACTATTATGATAGTAAACAGAGTTCTACATTAGCTGGGATTAGAAATTAATGTTTACTTTTATAGAATATCTAGAGAAACAATGTAATAGAAGACTTTAGTTTGGTGTCTCTGAGGCTTACTACTTTCTACTATTGTGTATGTATGTACATAAGATACTCTGCAAACTGAAATATTAGTTACTGTAAATTGTAGTAAGTTTTGATTACAAACTTTTACTCTAATAAGTTTGATTAAAACTTATTAGAAAAGTTTGATTACAACCTTTTACTCTAATTTTACTCTAATAAGGTGCACATCTATTTCTCCATTTCTAAATAGCATCCTAAACACAATAGAGAAGATAAAACAAAAATATGTAATGCAAATTTTATATCTAAGTGTTTATAAAAAGTTCATCAGCTTCACAGCTATGATTAGGATTGGTTTATACCATACCTATTTTTCTCCTGTTTCTTTCATAGTTCAGGAATGTTTTAATGTGCAAACTACTTATTTCCTCTGACTTAATAAATTTTGGTATTGTATTAACCTACTATAAGAGCAAATTTTGAACATTTGGTGAAAGGCAATATTTATTAACATCAGTGAAATTAGGAGGTAAGATAAGAATCACTTTCTATATGGCAAACTAAAATGTAGCTAATTCTACAAAAAAAATTTGGTGTTGAACAAATAGCAACTATTAAGTGTTTGAAATAAAATGCCTTCAGAATAATTAAGATTAAACCAAAAATTCAAAACAGTGTTACATTTATTTTCTAACTTTTGTGCATTTAAGATTCCTTATAATATTCCTCATACTTTATACCATTGTTAATAATTCAATGACAAGATGTAAGCTATCAAAGTGTCAAACCAAGTCAGATGAAGCATACTTGAGATTTAATTAATTATAAACATGATTCATCACTGTGGATGAACTTACTAGTGATCAGTGCCATATCCTTTCGTTCTGGTGAAGCCTACTGATGTGGCCACTACTAACGCTGGTAAACCTGTAAGAAAAACATTGTCACATTTCACGTGAAGCTATAAATATTGTGAATAATGATGCAAAAATATACTCGACAAACTAGGAGTTGTTTAAATATGATAAATTTTCTTTGGGTGAATCAGGGTACAAAATTTTTTCCAAAGTATAAGATTATGAGAACAACAGCTGAGTTTTTACCTTAGTACACTTCTCTGACGTTGCTAAGTTACCACAACATTTGACATGGGTGTAAGGAAAACTAATAACAAAGATTTAGTATATCTTTTAAACTGTTAACCTTTCCCAGTCAATACACTGTTATAAAGGAAATTTATAGCTATAAATTCAGAAGGACAGAAAAACAGATGTTCTGGATATGATGAAATATCACAGAAGTAGAAGATCCAGTTGGCCATATATTCATCCAAAGCAAATTGCACTTAAAAAAGGAGAGAAAAATACTCTCATGTAATAAATTTTATAATTAATTTATAATAATAACACATAAATATGATTAAGGACTGCAGAAAATTAATTTTGAGCTTCCTGGTTATCCTCCTTTAGCAATCCACATTAAAGAACAGAAAAATATAAGCCAACTTTTCTTTATGGACCTACAAGTAGAAATTACTTCATATATAACCATAGTACCTCTAAAATTCAGTTACCCGATTACCCGCACCAATTCTGATCTAATATTTTATGTTTATGTCTATGCTAAACACATATCAACTTAATTTCCATTAAGAACTCACCATGATTTGATAAATAAAGCTCAATCTAAACTAAAGCATTTAAGTGCTAAGTTTCAGTCATGTCTTCTTTCCAGGAAGGCTAAATTGACTTTTTAGACAGAAAATCCATCATCTAATCACACTCCTGTGTTTCTTCTACATATATTATTTTTGTCCATAATATTTCCTGCCATTATCTTTGATGACAAGTGACATCACTGCCTATTATCAAGAAACCTCACATTCTTCAAGAGGTTTAACAAGCACTACAGAGAACAACTGACAAGGCAGCATCGTATTTTAAATAATTACTGGCCTCTATATAATTTGTAATTACATATATAACTATATATAATACACGTAGACATACAAATGTACTGACATATGTTTATTTCTCTTGGCTATCCTTCAAACATGCTATTTCCTGACTTTTTTGATTGACTAGATCAAATATATTACAAAAATATATTCTCTCTTGGGTCACATTTGGAGGTTAAGAGTCTCCATTTCACATAATTTAGATTATAAAGAGTATTTTTATAGGGTTTAGATTGATAGTGGAACAGTTAAGACTCTTATTTTATATGCTGCTAACCCCAGTTCAATCCCCATTACTCACGGTCTCCTGAGCACTGCAGGAGCAACCCTAAATGTAGAGCTGGTAGAATTCCTAAACACTATCATGAAACCCAAACTCTCTCCAAATTTTATAAATTATTAAAAATATTATGTTTGTAATGAATTATAAGAATTTACTCTAATCACTTTGACTTTCTAGTAGTCTGCACCAGTTTTTTGGCTTTTTATTTATTTATTTGCTATGCAATGCAGTTTAATAATAATAACAATAGGAGACATGGCTTAGTAACAGAAAGCATGACTCCATATGTGAGGCCTAGCTCTCTCCTCAAAAGCCCATTAAAAAGAAATCACAAACTTGGGGATGAGCCATGAACCCTTTCCTCAATTATTTTTAGTAAAATTTTAAAGTAGTTACTGTATCTGCAAATTGCTTTATAATCTTTACACTTCAAAACAATCCTCATTGGTCAGTATTCTATATTTCTTAGATCTAAGATTCTAATTTTTGACAAATACCAATCTAGCTTCAAAAAATATTTGAAATGGAATCTAGAAAATATAATAGAATCTAGATATATTTGTTAAAAATAAGATATACTTCTTGACTTTGGTGTCATCCTTGAACAAGGCCATGCTCATATTTTTGGTATCATTCCAAGCCTATTATGGGTGCTGCTGAAGCCAGCACCAAACATAAATTTTTTGAAAGCACAGGTAGAATATAGACTTTCTCATTCACTTTTGCATGAAGTCCTGATACCTTTGGAAGGCATGAAATCAACTGAGATTTTGTGTTCACTTATTTCTATTTTTCCAAAATAAATTATTCCATTATTATGATTTCATTCATGTCTTAGTCTTCCAGTTCCCTATAGCGTTCCATTCTACAGCTGTTTGGCAGCTAAAGTATCTGTTTTATATTTGGTCTAAAACTCACAAGATTTTTTTAGTACAAATCCTTAAAAACTCAAAGATGAACATAACAAAACTGCATGTCTCCTTTGCTGCCCCATCCCCTGACTAGCTTCTTAAGTTTAATTATTATTAGGTCCTATGATCTTAAGATGGCCAGTTGATAATGGCAATTTGGGAGAAAATTCATAAGAAGGCAGACAATTCTTAGTCTGTCAATAATTTTTTTTTTCTTTTTGAACTCACAGGAGGTCTCATTCATTGTCTAAACAGCTTTCTCTTTGTGATATGAATGGCTTTCTCCTTTTGACTATAATTGCTATAGTATTTAAGTATTTTGAGGTCTGTCTTAGAATGGGTTCCTGAAAACTTTTTGCTAGTAATAAAGGACTAGTGAACCATCATGTTTTGAGCCCTGGACATTTTAAGATAGTTTTCTTTTCAGAACAATAGATGAAGAGAAAACTAAGCTTTTCTTTTCGTAGAAATCTCATGTCTCATCTCACACCATGTTGACTGTTAATAGACTAGCTACATTCAATATTCAACATTCACTCCTTGTTAATGTTCCAGAAGAGCAAAGAAGGTTAAAAAATGACCAGTGTCATAGATTCCTACTTCTGTATTTTAAAGTAGAACAAAGAAAAGTAGCCTGGAGATAATCACTTTCTATTGCTTCGTTATGTAAGTGTCCCGAGTCATTTTAACAAAAGTACAAAAGGGTATATTAATATGCTTACCCCATCCAAGGCACAAAAAGCGTTTCCTTATGAGCCGTGTCCTGATTTTTCCAGTCACAGCCATATATGACTGCCACGCTTCAGTCAAAACCCAACAGAATGAAGCCAGGAAGAAAAAGTGCAAAAATGCAGTGGTAGTTGTACAGATACTCTGTGGAAACAAACAAAAAAACTAATACTGAATATGAGAAGTCATTTGTCCTTCAGAAGACTATTAGTTAACCTTCATCTCCTTCCTTTGTTTCAAATATCTTCTTCTCCTCTTTGACCAAAAAATTACTTACACAAATTAAGAGCAGTGTGGTCTTTGTGTTGTAGGCAATATCTAAGTTAAATTTTTTTTTAAATTTCCACTTTTTATGAGAACTGTTTCAAAGTAGTTTTAAACTCAGGGGAGATTAAAATTACTACTTTTTCCCTTGATTTCTTTTCCTGAAGTATAATTATTGATTTAATTCTTTGTTAGACATCTTACTTAATTTATTTTATCTACATTCGTTACCCTTTCTTTTTAACTGATAATTCTTTGTTGTTTTGTTTGTGTTAATGTTAAGATCACATCACAAAAGCCTTTCAAAGGAAAAATTACAAGGTATAAAAACAAAGTATGAAATGAGGTTTGGCAAATACCTTAGTGCAAAACTAACTTATATTTTAAAGTACTTAATGCATTGCATCTGTGTTATTATATTACAATGTGTATTCTAATCAAATCATTTTGAAAAGCTAATTAAATCACTGACTACATAAAGTCATGATTTCATAGATATTTTTCTTTATGAAATTTAATCTCTCTGAATGTGCCAACCATTAGCTAGTTGTAATTCGTCTACAAAGATTAGTAGGTAAAAACAGCTACTTATGTCACTCTTTGTATAATTTATATAAAACTTGTTAAAATGAAAATCTTTATAAAATAATAACACAACAAATTTCTTTATTAATCTGTTTCCAAAAATTTTAAAAAGCAAAACAGTGTAGAACCTAAAAATGATATAAAACATAGTAGAGAAATAAAAATATAATGCCTAAACTCCCACCTCCACTTTAATACACAGTTAAAACAATTATTCAAAAGTTGGATCCAAATTAATCATATTGCTTTTTTCACTGCAATTGGCTAGGTTTTCATTTAGCTTTTCAGTGTTTATATCACATCAAAATAACTTTGCCACATCAATCTCACAGGTTGTTTTAATGATGAGATTACATACAGACGCTGAGTAACACTGTACTTGTATATAAAAAATATTACTATTTTAAATGATAAGGGTGTTACCATTTTTAGAAATTGATTCCTTATTTCATCTAGTGCTTAATTCTACATAGTAGTTAGTTTATTTTTATAAAGGTGATTAACTATTGGTATATAATCATGAATCTCTTTAAATTCTTTCTCATACTGTTATGGCACCATTTTCAAACTTAATGATTTAACCATTGTGAATGGTTAATCCACAATGGTTAGCCATTGTGATTTAACCTTTTGGTCCACGGTTGGAAGCGTTTTTGTCTTTTAGGAGTGTCACACATTGGACCAGGACCAAAGGTGTATTGAAATCCACGTTTCAATACAGAGACCTTTCTTCCTAAGATTTAAATATTTGCAGGCTGACAATTGTGATAGGTTTTGTTTTGCAGTCACTGATCCCAATTTGAATTTCAAAGATAATTTCCACTCAATTCCTAAAGACTAGTTATACTTTCTAATTCACATTCAATTTTCTTCCACAAGATTGTCTCACTTCATTCTAACTAAGCTACTTCTCTATTTATAAAACATCAATATAGGACTACATAAACAATGTGGAAGGGGCAAAATGAAAGGTGTTCGGTGCTACACGCACTGCTATTCTATAAGTAGTGACATATTTGGACTGAGGCGATAGCTTAAAAGACTTGTAGCATGGTTTGCATGCAAGAGTCCTGCTGTTTGATTCCCCAGCACCACAGATGTTGGGGGAATCCTCCAAACACCAGCATAAGTAGTCCCTTGAACGTGGTCCCATGTGTGACACTCATAAAAGACAAAAAAGCTTCCAACCCTGTACCAAAAGGAAGGAGATCAAGAGCGAGAGAGAGTGAGAGCAAGAAAGTGAGAGTGTCAGTGAGGTAGAGAGAAGTGCCTGTCATTTAGGCAGTCTGGGGGGAGACGGCTTGGGCATGGCAGTAGAGAAACTGGGGACATTGGTGGTGGGAAATGTTTACCAGTGAAGGGATGGGTATTGAACACTGTATGACTGAAAATCATGAACAACCTTGTAACTATATCTAATGGTGATTCAATTGACAAAGAAAAGAAAAAAATGTCTGGTATCTCAGTAGAGACTTAATTTGTTCTTTTTATATTATGTTGGTTACTTTGAACTTCTTGACATTCACTTTAATTCTAATACACATAGAAGCATATGCAATTTGGGGCTACTGAGATTGATTTCAACATTTTATGTTTTCCTGAACTATAATATGGTTATAACATGTGCAGGAAAGTGTTAGTAATCTGCAGCAGTAAGACTTATTATTATGGTCAATTGCATTCTGCCATGCCCCCTGAATTCATATGCTAAGAAGCTACAAGTATGAAAGTAAGCTATTTTGATCTAAGGAATATGTATAAATGGGTAAAAGAATATATGAAAATTTTTAAAAGCTGAAGAATTCAGCTTTTGCATGTAATGTATAGCAAATTCTCTAATCATGAGAAATAAAGTGGCTTTCATTTTGCTTCATTTTCATGAAAAGCATCAATATAAAATCATATAGGACACATAATGAATCCCACTCAAAATTTTGCTGATCTAGATGTAAAATTTTTTCAAATAAAACTGTAATTAAAATAAAATTGTATATGAATTCTTATCTGTCAAAGATAGGTATTCTAATGTTTGAACAACTGGACATTTACATCTCTTCAAGTTTCATATAGCCTGAACAGCAACACAGAAAGATCAACCATTCCTTGGATGACCTCAGTTTTGTGGATATACTCACTTATAAATTTTACACTCATTCTCTTTCTTTTTTTCTTAGGGTATTAGGCTAAAATTTCCTGGATTAGTGAAATTTTGCTAAAATAGTACTCAGGATAGTTATAATCTTAAAAAACAAAAGAAAATTAAGATAAGCAGGTTTCTTAAATAGACAACAGATTTAACAGAGAAAAGGAGTATCAATAAAGAAGAATTTGTGATCGTTCTCAAGATGGAGGAGTCGGCAAACAAAATATTAGAATAAAAAGTTATCGAAGTATAATATGTTATGAATATTTACATAAAAGGATGTTCTTAAAGAAAAGCATTGTTAAAATATGATCAGATTTTTAAAAAAATGTACAGAATAATCCTCTAAATAAGAACAGTTTCAGAAGAAACTTAAAATATAACTATCTTAAAAAGTGTATAGTTCACACTTTATGAAATATTTCCAAGGCCAAAGTAAAAGATTAGAAGTATAGCACTTATTTTCAAAGCTAGAATAATACTGACTCTGAGATGAGTAAGAATACAAAATTACTTTACATATGTACATAAATGAGAAAGTACTGTACAAAAGATCAAAACCTAAAAGTAATATGATAGAAAATCACTAGGAAAAGAGAATGTGCTCAGTAGTGCAGAATGATCCAACACTAAAAAGTACAGCTAGGACTGGATGCAAGTCAAAGAATTTGTATGGCTGAGTTCCAGATTTAATCCTCTGCACTATATATTTCTGATGTTCCTCAAGCACCTCTGATGAGGACCTCAAAACTAACAAGATTAACTATAATTTACTATATTAGCATATTAAGAAACCATGGAAATAAGTGTGAAAGTATTAAATTAAAACTCAATTACCATGTAAAAATCCTTATTGTAAATTACAAGCAGAGGATATTTACTTAATAAAGTTATCTCTCCAAAAATTATTACAAAATCATATTTAATAGTGAAATACTAAACTCAATCCCATCAGTCATCAGTATGAAAGGGAAGCTCATTATCAACTCTAATCTTCTACACTGTATTGCTGGTATTTACCAAAACATACAAGGAAA